AGCAGGAGGTGACTGGCATGGATACCCCGCCTCTCAGCTCTGCTCCATCAACTCCTTTCCTAGTGCCACAGCAGGACAGCTGTGCAGGAAGAGTGCATGACTGTCCACAGTCCAAACTGCACCAGGTGCATTGTGGGTTAAGCCTTACCCAGTGGTGAGATCTCTCCGTTACATAAGACCCTCACTGAATCTTAGGAAGTGAGGGTGATAGGGAAGGAGAGGAGGGGAGAGGGAAAATGGCGAGCAGACCTAACAGGCATATTTACCTGACTGTCAGTCTGTCACAGAGTGTGAACTGCCCAAAACCTTCCTCTGTGAGAATGCCACAGTGAATGCGGAGCTGATCACACTTGGTTTGTTGTCTTTCTCATGTGTTAGCTCTAAACATCAGAATGGTGGGGGGAAGTGTGTGTGTGGTGTATGTGTAGTATGTGGTGTGTGTGTGTGTGCGTGTGTGTGTGTGTGTGTGTGTGTGTGTGTGTGTGTGTGTGTTATGTGTGGTGTCTGGGTATGTGTGGTGTGTGTGTGTTGTAGTCTGTGTATGTATGCATGTGGTCTGTGTGTGGGTGTGGGTGTGGTGGGTGTGGTGTGTGTAGAGTGTGTGCATGTAGTTTGTACGGTGTGGTATGTGTTGTGTATGTGTGATATGTGTGTGGGGTATGTGTGTGTGCATGTGTGTAGTGTGATTTGTGCATTGTGCATGTGGTGTGTGTGTGGTCTGTATGTGTGTATATGTATGGGGAGTGTGGTCTGTGTGTGTGGTGTATGGTATGTGTGGTGTGTGTGGGTGATGTTTTAGAATATGAGCAACAACAACTTAAAGTCTCATGAATCACTGGATGGACACTGCTTTAGTTTTTGCCTACAGCCATGTGTTACAACATTCGTGGAAAATTTTTTTCTGGTTTAGTTTTTCAAGACAGGGTTTCTCTGTGTAGCCCTGGCTGTCCTGGAACTCACTCTGTAGACCACCTGACCTGAGCTCAAAGATCCACCTGCCTCTGCCTCCCACATGCTGGAATTAAAGGCATGTGCCACCACCTCCAAACTGCATTCATGGAAATTTAAGTGGCACACCCTTGAGCAATTCAGCATCAGAGTTATCAAGGTTTTAATCAGCCAAGGGCAGTCCTAATCCCAAATCCCACCCAGGAACTCACTAGAAGTTATTCTCCTAAGAAGTTTTTCCTGACGTTGTTGCTGTCTCTCCAGCACCATGTAAACAGTACTGAGGAGGAGAGTCATCAACCAAACCCTGGAGTCGGGGAGCTTTTTCCTCCTCACATACACATGGCATCCCCTATCTTTCTATCCTGCCTCAAATTGGCATGGCAATCTTGTCCACTTCCAATGAAGAAAATTACTTTTCAGAGAGAAAAATTCATATTCCATAAGAAATTAATTTAGAATGTACAAGTGGGGGGGTCATAAAATGTCAGTTTCTTTAAAGATCTTGGGTCTTGTCAAGTGTGCTGGGAGGCTTGCAAGTTCAAGAACAGCCTGGGAAATTTAGTGAGACTATCTCAAGCTTTAAAAGCAGCTGTGGATATAGGTCAGTGGCAGAGAATTTACCTAGGATTCACGGAGCCCTAGGCAAGTCTTAATCCTACAAAACAAGTGAGATCATGTAACACATAAAAATCTGACCTGTCATTTTCAAAAGGCAGTGAGAGTTCCAGAATAACCTAGGCATCATTGGGAGTTAAATAAAAAAAAATTTTTTAGTTCATATCAACTTCTAAAACTATTTTGAATGCAAGTACAAGTATCAGTTGATTTACTTTCTATCATAACTAAGAAAAATTGCAACTATAACTATCTCATCTTCAACTCCATCAAAGACCCACAAGGATGTACTATTATCTAACAACAGAGACATTTGGCTGCCTGGACAGTCACCCAAAGTTCCTCTGCAATGTTGGGGCATCCATCTTCAGCCTACAGGTCCAGAGTATCTGTCAAAGTTTTCAGTGAAGTAGGAATTTTGAAAGACTGTCCTGTCTTGTTTTGGCAAAGTTCAACAGTCTTTTTCCTGTGTGTCCTGCATGTCCAGTCCACACAGCATATTGTCAGCAGTCAAAGGCAAGAGCAGTTTCTTTGCCCAGTGGCTACCCTTGCCACAATGAAAGCAAACTCCATAAGGAGTTTATTCAATGTCCATCATCTCTGAAGTAAATTGGTGCTGCCAGAAGCAGACGTATCTCATTGTCATGAAGAACCTTAAGTTAACAAAACATTTTAAATGTCATATTCTATAAGTCTTTGAAGTGTTTGAAGACCATTTAATCTAAAATAGACCTATTTAACCTTAAAAACATACCTAATATGACTACAAGTTTAACTATCATACATTAACTACTAACCTCATTTCTTATTTATACAATATATTTTTAAATGAACTGCATAAGCACAATACCCCAAGCAAGAGTAGAAATATAGATACAGTGTAACAAAATTAAAGTTGTATCAGTATACCAAAATCCATGCCAATGTAAAATAACTGAAGTTAATAGTTGCCTTTTGGTCCTATATTTTTATATTCCTCTAAATTATAACAAACATCTGTAACCCACCAAATAACCAAAAGCCTCCCATAGCCCTCTTGGGAATGTGGGCATTGTGTTCTCCAAACTGCTTCCTGCTGTCTGTGGATGAAGTATCTTTAGGGTCCCCAAGAAAATTTTGAGATAATGACCAAGTCCTGGGAAGACCAGCAGTAACCTTTGTTGATATATATCACCTGACAAGGTTCAGGAGGTCTCCCTTGATCAAACCTGATCCATATTAACCTGGAACTAACCCACAGCCTCTCATCTCCTATGGGAACAAAACTCCAAAGCATTTTGATTTGACAATCCATTTGACAAATACATTTTTTGACTTCTTTTTCATACTTTGAACACAACAGAGGTGCTAGCACCTATGTGTGGAAACTTCAAGTTGCATGATAACACTTCTCACATATAATCCAGGAAAAGAAACAATGAAGTGGCAGTGTATGCCCTGACTCCAGGTCCCTCTGCTTTTCTGAACAATCAGTGTGAGGCCTAAAGAACCACATTTTGTTTTTAAATATTCACTAAAAAAGAATGAAATCACCAAGTAAGGGAAGTGGAACAGAGTCATCCAGCTGTGGTTCTGCCACTTTAATGCCAGTTCTCCTAGCGGCTGGGGCTTCTGGTACAGTCTAGATTCTGGTTAGAAAGCAAGGCAGAGCCAAGGACCTGCAGCCTCCGGTGACAGTGAGAGATGAGCATGATCTGTGCAGAAATCCACCCTGAGAATCTGAAACTAGCTTTCGTGTAGTGATCTGAACACCACTCTAGCTGCTCTGAAACTCCCTCCCTGTCCTGGCCCCTTCCTCAGTCTTCTCCTCCCTGCCTGACCCCGGCTCTCAGCTTTAAATGTACAAAGACACTGTGGCCTCTTCCAGGCTGTGCTTTCTGTTCATTTACAACACTGAGTAACCCTCTAGAGCTTCCCCTCTGGTCCTTTCCTCCATACTCAGACCTCTCCAGAACTAAGCCCCAGCTGGACACAATAGGTGTTCATTTTTTTTAATTAAATATCCCCTAAATTTACACTACTCTATTTCACCTCACCCCACGCTTCATTTCTTTAGACTTATCCAAAAGGCTCGCCATTATTACAAACCTGAGATAAAAACTTGAAGAAAAGCAAAATGTCCAATTCCGTGACCCATGGGACTTCACACAAGCCCCTGTCCCCCACTTATGACCCTAAGGCACAATGACAGCTGTAAACTCTGTGGGGTCTTGAGTTTGTTTCCAACCCCAGGGAAGGGAAAGACTCTGGTCTGTGTGGTCGACTGGGGTGTGGGGGAGGGTGTGCTCACACCCAGTTGTTGCTCTGATGTACTTTCTTCAGGTTCATGGTAGGTCTCCATCACAGGACAACTGGAGAATGGTCACTGTCAAGAGCCATCCTGAAACAGAGCTAGCTCAGAGAAGACAACTTTCTACTAGAAACTCAGCTGGTTAACCTTTTAAAACCAGTCAGCCATAGGATGGAGGCAGTTTCCACGTAGTTACTAATATCCCCTTGAAGATGTATCAGATGTTTCCTTGGAGCCGAACACCAGGGAACTAAACACAGTGAGGCAATAGTTCACAGTATAACTAACACAATGAAGAATGACTATTCTTTTTTTTTTTTAATTACACTTATGATATTCATTAATTACACTCATGATATTAATCACATTTGTGCCGTTTACGAAGGAGGGAGGAGGTCTTAAATACAGGCTTACAGCACAATGGGAGAACCCCAGAGGGCAGAAGTTTGGTACTGATGTTTTACAATCTTGCATCTAAGCTGTTAATGCCCAATATTCAGGATACACAGACAAGGAACGTCCCTTAAGCATTCAGGAGGGTGGAACCTGGCAGGGAATTAGCATAGGGAGGATATCAAGGTCAAGATCCGCAAGCAAGGCAACAGTTACCCAAAACGGGGCCAGGGACTTACAGGTCCCCCTTTTATTAAATAATGGGCTTCTGACTTGGGTTGCGTGGGACGTCAGCAGGTCACCTTACCCGTCATGGAGATGCCTGCCCAGGCCACACAGGTAGAATGACTATTCCTAAGCAGGCTTTCGGTCCTAACAGCTGGGTTTCAGGGCCAGCAGGATGGCACAGTGAGTAAAACGTCTTGCCACTGAGACTGCTGACTTGAGCTCAATACCAGGGACCACACAGTGAAGGAGAAAACTGACTCCTGCCAGTTGTCTTCTCACCTCCACGTGCACATAAATAAGTTCATTTTTTTAAAGATCTCATCGAAAAGCTGTGTTTCCATATTCATTTTACAGGAAAAAAAAAAAAAAAAACCTCAGTTCACAGGAGCCAAATACAGTAACTACTGACCCGTTCCGCGGGCCAGGTTATTTGATGAGACCCGAGGAGGCACCTCCTGAAAGATCAATGGGGGCGAGAGAGAAAGGAGACCAGGCGCATAAAAGAAGACAAAATCAGTCTGAGTCACGTCAAGGTCTCGTTTATTGCAAGGGGAATCAGGTTTATATATGCTAGGGGCTAGGAGAAGTAGATAGGGGTATGGAAAGTTACTAGGAGGAAGTTAGGGTAAGGTAGGGTTCAGGAAAAGGTCTCTTTGTTCCAGGGCCTGATCAACGAACCATACAGCAAACCATTATGTTTCAAGAAGTTGATCAAAAGGTACATACTGTGGTCTTATTGAAAAATGGTTGCATTGAAACTGTTAACGGAAGGCTAGGTACACAGCTTTTTCCCATGAGAATCAGTTAGGCTACTTGGCTCCTGACAAACTACCTCAGCACCTAGACAAAGTCTTCAGTTTTCTCTAGTGAACTAACGAAACAAGACGACTGTCAGAGTGAAATAATGGCAACAGCTCACATGTTTTGTGACTTCCTCGTGTCTGGCACTAAGTACTTTCTGATAAATCACTATCCCAACAGCCTACAGGCCAGGCATATCATTAGCCCCAGTTTTGGATGAAATGAGGCACAATCTAGTTCAAACCTTCTACTCCTGACACACACAGGACATGTATGTATGGGTAATGTATTTGTATGTGTAAATGCATACGTGTAAGTATTTGAAGATGCTTTAAGTAGGAAGAATTAACTCTCGGTAGCTGTGTATTATGTGGTCTAGTCTCAAGCTGGTGAGTACTTCTGAGATATGAAGTGTAGGCTGATATTACTAAAGGGGCATGGTCTACTCCAGGCAGACAGATACTCTAAGTCTAGACCCATACCCTCTTCCACCCTTCTAGTCAGGAAACAGAGAAAGAGATTCCAGATGAATTTAATCTTTACTCATCTTTTAAGCTCTAAGTCCGTCCTTCAAAATATGAGGTTCATAACTGTAATACCGTCCTGGCACACCTCAGCATAATATGAAAATAAACTGTGTCATTTTATTTTCATTTGCCTGTGGTCCTGTCCAGTTCCTGACTGTTGCTCTTCACAACATGGCTGACATTTTCTCATCATGGCATTTGTCTCCTGCGTTGTCCCAGAGTCACCTCTTTCTGAGATTGCTATCTCAAGGATGACTGTCAATTGGGGTTCCCATTGCTTGGGTGGATATTCTTGGAATGGTAGTCCAAAAGATGTCTATTTAGAAGATTCTCACTGTGCAGGTTGTTGCTCTAAAAATGGTCCCAAGGATGACTCTTTAGAGGACTCTTGTTCATGCTGTTGCTCTGGGGATGGTGGTCCCAAAGTTGACTGTCCAGATACCTCTTGTTCAAGTTGTTGCTCTAGGGATGATGGTCTCAAGGGTGACTGCCCAGATATCTCTTCTTGTTCAAGTTGTTGCTCTGGGGATGGTGGTCCCAAGGTTGATTGTCCAGATACCTCTTGTTCTAGTTGTTGCTCTGGGGATGATAGTATCAAGGATGACTGTCCAGATACCTCTTGTTGTTCATGTTGTTGCTTTGGGGATGGTGGTCCCAAGGTTGACTGTCCAGATACCTCTTGTTCAAGTTGTCGCTCTGGTGATGATGGTCTCAAGGGTGACTGTCCAGATAACTCTTGTTGTTCATGTTGTTGCTCTGGGGATGGTGGTCCCAAGGATGACTGTCTAGATACCTCTTGTTGTTCATGTTGTTGCTCTGGGGATGGTGGTCCCAAGGATGACTGTCTAGATACCTCTTGTTGTTCATGTTGTTGCTCTGGGGATGGTGGTCCCAAGGTTGACTGTGTAGATACCTCTTGTCCTTCACATTGTTGCTCTGGTGATGATGGTCTCAAGGATGACTGTCCAGGAGATTCCTGTTGCTTAGGTCTTTGGTCTTGTGTTGATGATGACTCTTGTAATTCTTGTTCCATCGATGGCTCTCTTTGAACTTCTGCTTCTACGTGGGTTTCTGGCAGTGCAGATATGTTTTTTTCTTCTATAATGTCATGTTGTTCTTTTTCTTTTTTTTTCAGTAAACAAAATAAGACAAAATCACTAATAAACACAGTAGCCATTTAAACCAACTGAAATAAATCACAAATGTTGCTATCATAATATCAAGGATTTAGTAATGACAGTGAAAATAATTTTCACACAGGGTATTAAACCTGAAATGCTCTTTTGACTGTATCATCACATTTGCCCTCATGTAAAAACACAATCTCAAGCAAGTATAAAAAGGATAGAAGAGATGCCTGAGAAGAGGGAATGAAGGACATGACACCAGACATTAACTACACAGATATAATCTGTTGATCAATGAAAATGAACAGCTATGAAAAGACTTCCTCTTTCTATGAGTCACTGAGACAGGGAAGGCACTTTTATTAAATGAAAAGGAAAGGAATGAGCACATAGGAGAATCCAGGACCTGTGTTCAGCACAAATGAGATAGCCTGTAAAGCACAGGGAAGGAGTCTAAGCACACCAGCTCTTCCTGACAAACTACACAACAATTGAGCTGAGGAAATCAAGACTAAGAGGAGCCTCACAGAAAGCGGGGGATACTGGGTAGCCCAACTGGCATGCATAAGATTCACCATGTTCACGGAACACCTTCCCATCAATATCTATTCTCCCTCTCACCTTCAGAAGCAACTTACAAATCCCAAGTCACAGACTTCATCTCCAGTTTCATCCTGACCTCCCATTTCCATTATGCCAAGTCTGAACCATTTGGTCTCATCCCACAAACCTGTAATCCCCTGCGTGGCCCCACTGTCTTGGCCCAGCTGTCCCCATCTGACAGAATACTAGAATTATACCCTAATGTTCTCTTGCCTTCCTGTATTCCCTTTGCTATTGAGTAACACATAAATTTGGTCAACTATCTCCCTGGTTTAGCATGACCTACAAGAAAAAAGACTTTACAGCAAATGAGACCCTGGCAGCCATGATCAGATAGCCACCAGATCTGCATTCCCAGCCACCTGCATCTTAGTGGGCCAGATGAGTAGTTTCAACTAAAGGAATGTGAGCCACAACTCATCCCTTCTGGACTGAGAGGGTTAGTGCTTGATACAACTTCCTCCTGTCTCTCTTTGGCATCGGATTCAGAGGCCAGGTGGCTGACATCATAACACCAAGGGTACCTGGGTCAAGCAGGGGAGGAGAAAAGCTCAGTAGAGCTGCCACCCACAGTGGGCTTTCTGTGGTCATTAAAGAAAGCTGTGTCATGCAGAGCCATTGGGATTGGGGGTTGATATTCCTTGCTGCAATTCAGCCTTCCTCCTTCACTGCCACAAATGACCAAAGAGCCGAGCCCTGCTATACCACCTTTATGTTCCTTTCCTTCCTCACACATTAGCCTTTAACTCTATCCACACCTGATGAGTCTCACTTCTCAAAACCTGCTGTAGTTTTACGATGAACCTTAATACTCTGATTCCTCTGCCCACAGCCCCTTCTCTATAGTGTCTGCCTGCAAATTCCTGCTGACTATTCACAGTTTTCCTTTATACTGGTCTTGCATCCTGGTAGCCTCCTTCCCAGGCCCTGGAAGTCCAGCATTCTGATTGTGGTCTGTTTCCAGGTATCCACTGAATTTTTATACCTTCCTTTCTACACCGGAGTTCCACTCTGACACACATGAGCTTGCTCAGAACAGTGGGACTGTGTCGGATTCACATATGACAGTCAGCACACACCCCTCAGTCACAACAATGCAACTTATACTGGGCAATAATGACATGGGAGTTCTGCATTAAAAAAAAGCTTTAGACAAGTCCCACTTCCTTTTCTTGGTTTCAGTGAATTCTCTCTTGGAAAACAGAGATAAAAAGACACATCTATAGGAACTGTAGAAATATGGTTACAAATGGCTGAAGCTTGCTGAGTAGAAAAAAAATCAATATTCAGATCATGCAAATACCCATTATTATAAAAGTTTAATCATGAAAATAAATCCTTACATGATACAGTGCTCATTGTTATAAAAGCTTAGTGAAAATGCATACATACATACATACATACATACATACATACATACATGCTATAGTACACATTTTTAAAAAGATTAAATAGTGAAAATAAATGCATGAACCAGAAGTTTGGAAGAAAGCATAAAGACTGTCATATGCCAGGTGGAAGCCAGAGATCTAAGGTAGAAGTTGTGCCTGGCCCCTGACTCTTCACTGACCCCTAGTGAATGTAGTTGGGACCCCACATAAAGGTTGTGGTGAACCCCAGGCAGTAGGCAGGAGTTATATCTTACTCATCCTTTCTTCAAGCACCCAAGTGGCATATGAAAGAAACTCAGATTGTTTGATAAATGAAAAAAAAAAAAAAGGAATAACTCATGACTGAATCAGAAGTCCCCTTGTCCCATTCACATAGACCCTTCCTGAAGACACAAAGACATTAGAATGAGCAAAATACAAAATACAATGAAGACATTAAAATGTGTTTATACGGATAAAGTAATTAATATAACAAAATGAGGTTACAAAATACTAGTTTGCCATAATATCCATGTTATAGGGAGATATATTGAAACACATTTTCAAAGCCCTGGCACTCACCTTGACTTTCAAACTCAATCATCAGTGAGCTGCCCCAGGCACTGCCTATGCATTCTATACCGTTTCCTTTCATAACTCAGCCTGCATTCTAATCAGCTTCTAACTGTGGCTAAGGCCATGACCTGCAGCGTACCAGGGGCACATACTCATCTGAGGTTTCCTGCCTGGATCCTAAGCTCATCACCACTCTAGGAAGAATTTTTTCTCTAATCCTTTCTTTAAAATATTGTCACTGTAAATGCAGTGAAATTTCAAAATAAATGCATAAAGCAGTAACATGTCTACCTAAACTGAGCTGACTGGCAGACAGCACTACCACATGCTAAGCCAAAGTATTCAAATGACCTAACGATCACCCACCATTCAGAGGACAGCTTGGCAAGCTTCATGCACAGCAAGGGGAGCCCAGGGCATCCAAAGCAGAAAAACTCCTCTCTCGGAAAGCAGTCTTGAGGAAAACCCAGATGTTGTAAGGAATGAAAGCGACTATAGTCATTCCCACTGGGGTGACTCTCAGATGGGCAGAGTGACCCCAAATGTTTCCCTGCTCCACACCTTGTGTCATATGCAAGAGCCCAGCAAATGACCGATCCCCCACAGTATGCTCTCTTACCAGAAGTCGGAACCACCTCTTTATTCTTGCGGAGGTTCTTGAGAGATGCTAAAATGAAAAGGAACATAGAGGTTAGTGAACTGAGCAGAGGAGTCACCACAAGCCTTCAGTGGGACACCCACAGCTAAGAGAACCAATGGAATGCAACCTTCTCGATAGCTTGGAGAGAATTTCAGGCCAATAAAAATGACCCTATTGAAAATACAACCATGCTTTTATATGTAGAAATAAATTCTGATATTATCATTCTTTGGGATTACAGGGCAACAGGTGGGATGTTGATCTGCCCACTTGCTTTCCCAGAGAGAAAGACATGTTTTGCTTGAGTTTATTGGCCTTGCTCCTTCCTCCAGCTTCACGGTAGGCTCCCAATGGCTGGTGGTGGCAATTCCTGTGTTGTACTTTACATCACAGGTAACAGAACCTTTCCGGTAGGACTCTAACCAGAACATGTAAACCTGCTCAGGGCTGTTCTGGAAACCCCAGATTACAGAAAACAATAAAAGAATATTTGCTCTAAAATGAACCATGTGTAACTGACACTAGGGAAGCACACCCATGCACACGAGTATGACATAAATGCAATACGACTTCTCTGCAGACCTGCCACAGGTAAGCATTCCAACCAACCAGCCTGCTTTGATGTTGGGTATGTTATGAAGTTTGCCAAAGGCTCTGCCCCCACCAGCCAGCTGAAGATACCTGCTGTATTCAAATGTCCCCATGTTTCAACACTGGTGTCAGCACAACTAACAGGGAAACGTTTTTTATTAATAAGAACTTCGGTTCTGTTGAACTCAGGAGCAAGAATCCATAGAATTAGACCAGTGCTGTTCTGAGCCCTGACATCTGGCACCTGGGGTGAGAAAGGGGGGGGGGGTCTGAGCAGCTTCAGGGTTTATTGCCACTGAGGGAAGGAATGTGAGAGGCCGTGAAGGGAATAGCTGCACAGACTGCACTGCCAGGAGCAGCAGCTGAGGAGTCTGAAGAGAGGGCTGGTTTCCACGACTGCTCTGAGGTTTCAAAGGCCACAGAGACGTCCAGCTGCTGCATTCCTAGTTGTAAGCTGGGGCTGAGGGGTGGCTCAGTCAGAGTGCTAGCTCGGCATGCACCAAGGACTGGGTTCCAGCCCCAGCTTCACACACACTGGGCATGATGTCACATGACAGCACAGGAGAGGTGGGGGCTAGAGGATCAGAGTTCAAAGCCATCCTCAGTTGCGTGACAAGTTTGAGGCCAGCCTGGGATATGTGAGATCCGGTTTCTAAAACGACAGACTTTGTTCCTGCCTGCATTTAGTTTTGCGACTGCCAGAACATCGAAGCTGCAGCAGCTTATGTGACTCAAGATGTTAGCCTGTGATTTGTGAAAGTAAATCCGCTCTTATTTAAGACATGATGAGTGTGTAAAAAGCTAGAAGCCCAAAGTTAGAAAAGCATTTAACTTTTGGCTGTCGGGGCTGTTACCTAGATAACTGATTCTCTGTAGCTAGAAAGACTCTTAAATATTTCAGCAAAGGCATTTCCCAAGTCCTACAGGAACCACAGTTAAATCAGAAAGTACTCTGGACTCAGTAAATCTCTTGCCAGCGTCAAGAAAGTATTCCCAATCAGCGGTGGCTCCGTGGTGACAAGGTCCCCTTGAGGCCCTCTGGCAACCACTGTAGATTATCTAGACACAAAATCCACTTACTGAGGGTCATTTTACACCTGAATCTTGACTGTCACCATAGGAGATCAGATGTGGCCTCAGGTAGGAGTCCCAAAACTTCCAGATTTTAGAAGCACTTTAGATTTGGGAATTTGGGATAAGGTCACTTGAGCTGTGTTCAGAAACTATCGCACTTAAAGAGAAGCAAGAAACAGAGAAAGGCGGGGGCTAGGAAGCACAAAAGCGTCAACCTCCTTGGCAAAGTCACAGTCCTTCTGACTCTCATGTGGAGCTTGGTGTTCTATTTTGATTCTTCCTTTAAAGGTTTCCAGTTTTCTTTTATCTCTCTTTTTATTGTCGGCTACCTTAAATCCTTTGGGCAATAGGATAACAGCCTTTATAATTAGAGAGAGAGAGCCATGCAGGGTCTGGTTGAACTGTTGGGAATTGCTCAGAGAAAGCAAAATCAGTCTCTGCATTTCTCAGGACAATGAGTCCACCCAAACAATGAATCGTTTGATGCTACGCCCTTGGAGGGGCTAGCCTCCACAGTTTACTAACACCCTACAGACAAGTACTTCCTCTGCCTCGAGAGAAACTCACGGACTCATGGGAAGAAAGCATGTCTTGGTTCATGTGGCTTTGGGAAAGTCACCCACATCTCTGCATTGATACAGGACCAGACTTAACCAATAACTGCGGTAGCCCTCAGAATGTGACTATAACCCTTGACACAATGCACCACTCACCATGTGCAACCAGTCCCCCCCTCCCAGCCCCTTTCCCCACCCCTTACCATGTGCACAGCCTCCATCACCTGCCCCCAGCCCCTTCCTCAATGGGGTCCTGTTGTACATGTTATGGCCTTCCACTCTGCCCACATTATTTACTGCTTCTGGCATCCCCACCACCCTTTATCTCTGCCAAATACTCACTCTTATAATAGACTCCCAACATGTAACCAAGCCTGGAACCTTAAAGGGTTAGCATTAATTTTTCAATTTTACCAGAAGAAAAAAAAAACAGGAGCTAAGAGTTATGCCAACCTCAGTTTCCCATATTTAGTACAAGAAGTTTGAGCAAATGATTTTCCGGCTGCTCTCCACATTATAGCCACAGTGCCTGAGCAGCAGACATCAGTGCTGGGCATGGTAAAAGAGGACTGTAACAAGCCCTCTGTACACATTTTGCCAAGGGGGAAGCAGGCAGCCTAGAAAGGCTACAGTCCCACAAGCACAAGAACCTGAGTTCAAATCCTCAGCACCATCATAAGCCAGCGGTAGCAGCACACATCTGTTAACCCTTCACTGAGAGGTCAGAGACAGAAGATGCCTGAACTCCAGCCAGTCCGTCAGGCTCAATCAATGAGCTCCAGACTCAGGGAAGAGACTCTACTGTAAAAGCTAAAGGGGAAGTCTGGCAGAAGAATGGCTTGCCACCAAATCTGAGGACCTGAGTTCAATCCCAGGACCTACTTGGTGGAAGGAAAGAACTGACTCCCGCAAGTTGTCCTCTGACCTCCACACACATCCTGTGGCACATACACACACACACACACACACACACACACACACACACACACACACACACTCACACATGACAAATAAATAGATGGAGAATGACTGGTGAGGACACCTGACACTGGCCTGTGCTCTCCACACACTTGAGCACATATGCACACGTGCACACTCACGAGAACCCTGCCTACTACCTACAGGACGTGTTGAACGTGGTATTGAAACTCATGGTGCCTGACAGCGACCCACACCCTAGTCCCAGCACCCATGGGTGTGTTAGCCCATGGGATGAAGGCACATTAGGGCTGCATAGGGGGTCGAGGCAGCGACAGACAGGGAGTGTTCCCCCAGAATATCCAGGTGGGCTCAGCACAATCGCAAAGCCCCTTGGAAGAGAAGGCAGCAGAGGGAAAGAATCAGAGGTCATGTGAACAGAGAGGAAGGACTAGAGAAAGGCAGCTGAATTTGAAAAGGAAGGAAGGATCCACAAGGAAAAAAAAAAAAAAAACCATGGGCACCCCTGGGAGCTGGAAGAAGCATGACAATAGATTTTCCCTGGAGCCCCAGGACAGGGACACAGGCTGTTAGCCCATGAAACCATGTCTAACTCCTGACCCACACAACTACAAGACGGTTATAAAGTTTGTTCTCATTTGTTGCAACAGGCACATGAACTAGTCAAACACTCCAGCCATCTCTGCCTTCCTCTAAGAAACTCTGCCTACGGATGTGCACACACCACTGACTGTGGGAGACTCTGGGAGAACGGCCTGGATGCCTCCATCCTGATCTCTGCATGCAGATGCAGGGTCATGGACCCAGCCGCACGCAGATAATGTAGATGCCAAAGCCGCAAGCTAATGCGAGGACGGTGACTGAAAACCAGGGCATAAGTAAGTGTGAGCTGAATGGAAATAAAGGGTTTGAAATGTGAAGTTCAGACCAGGGATCACCCTCACTGTGTGTGGCCTGGAGGGGCTTTAGTTTGATAAGAACCTCAGAGCTTGCAAAGCTCTCTACCAGCAGAGAGGCTGTCTCAGGACTGCCTAAGGAAGCGCTTCCCATTAGGAGAGAAACTGTAAAGGGAGTTGAAGAGCCTGACTCTGTGATCTTGATGTTCCTTCCTAAACTGAATGCCACTTGTCCTTCCTCCATTCAAGTGATTAAAAAAAAAAAAAAAAGCATGCCAGACTCTGCATTTGAAATAAAAGACAATGTACTGTGCGTAAGTGTTGTTTTTGTGAAATTTACTGCAGGGAATTCAAGCCAAGATCACAAGCAGGGGGATAAGAACGCACTCTTGCACCATTCAGTGTCGGCCAGAGTTTCAACTTCAGTGTTTGGTTGGCACACGGTAGCCATCAAGCGTCCAATTGTACGGAGTCAGCTGTACCTGGATAAAGGTCACCCCAGTAAAAAGGGGTCACACCCAAGCCAACAGATGCACAAAGTCCAAAAGGAGAAAGACAGGAATGGAGGACACCCCTCCCCACCACCACGCCGCAGCTGCACATGTCTTTAGGTAAGTGCCAGAGACTTGCTTTTGGCACACGGTGCTGAAGGAGGGAAGCCGGTACACGAAAGAACTGTCCACTGGAATTCCCATTGTACACAGCTTGTTTAAACTAGTTAGGAACATATGGGGTCTGGGTGCTTATATTAACTTTCCACTCTCCTCTTTCAACTCTCAGATGTTTTTTAATTTAATTTTTTATGTACACAGGTGTTTTTGACTACATGTATGTCTGTGTACCACATATGTGCCTAGAGCCCACAAAGGCCAGAAGAAGGCTTTGAACCCCCTGAAATGGGAGTTATAGGTGGTTGTGAGCCACCATATGAGTGCCGGGAATAGAACCCTGATCCTCTGGAAGAACAGCG